AGTCCGAAGCTGACGGAGGCGATGTATACAAATGCATCAAGAAGAAATAAAAATATTATAACAAATAGCCGAGGTAGGTGATTTCTTTGGGCTCATCCTGAAAACGTTCCCCTTTTTCAAAGGGATTTGTTTTTTAGGTTGGGGCTCCCTCGTTCGTTCCCTTTCCCCCAAAAAAGAATAGCTTCTTCCCCCCATGAAAAGGCCAGTACCTAAAAGTCGAGAGTTGAGAGACGAAGAAAGCCCCCCCTCTCTATTTAGTTTCAGTTTTCTTCTTTCCCCCCCTCATTATTTTTCTGCTTCACTCTCTTTTTAATTCTTCCTCCCCTTCTTGAACGCTTTTTTCTCTCTTTTTAACTAAAATCTATTTTAAGTTTTAATTTACAAAAAAATGAAATAAAACATTTAAAAATAATTTTTTATTTTAAAATGTTGGTTTATGTTGTTTCTAAGAAATTCGTATTATTCAAAAAAAAAGAAGAAAATCCGAGATTTACTCGATTTCATTCATCCTTTTTCTTCGTTAATGATGGGATGTTTTTTTTTAATTTTATTTATAAAAAAATAACGATTCTTTAATTTATTTAAATTTTAATTTAATTCAAATTAAAAAAGTAATTTCAAATCTTTTAAAAAACTTTTTCTTTTTCAACAATTTGTATCTTTTTTTTTGCTTAACACAAAATATTTCGTGATATTTTCCAGTTTTTTTTAATAATAATTGACTTCAGATTTTTATGAAATGGATTTCCTCAATATTTCATTGTTTATTCATTTGTTTAACTTTGGAAAAAAATATTTAAAAATATATTTATTTTTAATTAATTTCTGATATTTAACAAGAAGAAAAATTATATCTTTAAGAAGATAAATTTTGTTTAGTATCTTGAAAAATATAATGTTTATTGTATAATTTATTTCGATTTAGGATTTGCATTTGAATTTTATTGAAATTTAAATTTTTGTCGTGAAGAAAACTTTAAAATATAAAATTTTATGAAATCTAAAATATGATCTTACATGATAAAACAACTTTTAAGTAAAAATAAATTTATTTTTTGAAGCTGCAATGACTAAAAAAATGACCTTTAAAATAAAATTTATTTTTTAAATAATCTGTTTTTATATTTAAATTTTATTTTAACCAAAAGTATTTATTTAACATAAGTGAAGTAGACAATTAAAAAAGAAAGAAAGAAAGAATTATCACCAAATAAATAACAATTACATTTAAAAAAAAAACAACAAACAAACCCAAAAACTGATCAATGAGAAAAATGTTACTTCCTTTTTGGTTGTAAATAAATATTTTGCTTATTATCATTATTATTTGTAATGATTTCATCCTAAGCAAGACAATAAAGCCACTTAGAGAATATGAGAAAAATATACTAAATAGAGAGATAGTAAAAGAAGAATTTTAAGAAAACAAGATAATGATTGACATTGCATTTAAATTTTTGAAGATCAAAGTTGATTGGGAAGCAAGAAGTTGAAAGAAAGTTACACAAGTGAGGAGTACAAGAGAAGAAACTGTTAGCATAGAACTTATAGTTAGATCTATCAATTTCAACAGTAAAATGATGAGGCCAATCTAGTACTGCACTTAAATTCATAAAGTCTAGATACCCTAAAGGAAAGTTCATCGGAACAATTACTATGAAAGTAAGTATAGAAAAAGCACAGGGTAGCTACGTTATAGTGGTGGGAAAGCGACTGAAGCTGAGATGCCTGGTCATGACCAGTAACATTGTGGATTCTTCTTTATATTTTATCAAGAATGTTTAAATACATAGCAAAAGCACTAGGCCATTATAATTATTAAAAACTTCTGTAATTTTTTTCATATAAAACTGGAATGTCCCAGTTGTGAATAACAACTTTAAACACTTTATGATAATTGTGAGAATACAAAATTAGGCTTTAAAAATATATAAAATGTCTTTTTCATTTCAAAAGCAAATCCAGCACTAACATTTCAGTTTTGTTGGAAAATTAATTTATTAAATTGAATAAATAAATATGAAAATGCACAATGAAAGTTTTCATTTAAATGCCGAAATTTAATGTCATTTTCAAAGCCAACATAACTTTAGTGTTTAGATTTTAAAGATGACAATTAATTTTTCTTTTACTATTTTCTGGCAGTTGCTTAAGGCTTTTCTCTTTATTTACTAAAATATTTGAAGCAATGCCTTAAACTCAAACAATTATTTTATTTATTTTCATTAAACAGCAAATATTAATGCTATTTTTAGTTTCAATTGTGAAAGTGAATTAAAATGAAAGTAAATTTGATATTTCTCAATTACAGAAATATTTGTTTGTTGTCATGGGATTTAGAGCAAAAGCAAATTTAAAAATTTTAAAAAATAATGAAAAAATTCTTTTGACTGATCATGTTTTTGTCAATTCAGATTGATTTTTCTTTCTTTTTTTTCTTTTAATACCATGACCCTTCAAGACATAGACACTCATGGCTTTCCACAGATTCCCTTTCTTTATTATCCATCAGTTGACATACATTCTTGAGAAAAATAGTGGAGTAGTTCCACATTGCCTTCTCCATGATTTAATTTTAATCTATCTTCCCTTAGACTGGTTGTCAACCAGGGCAGAGATTCTAGTCTACCCTGCTATTTAATTCATAGTTGGATTGGAGATAGAAGAGACAGATTTATGCGTTTCCCAAGGGCGTTTGTGAAAAGTGGACACTACAGTCTAGTTTGGAATTTGAACTACTTTACTGGTGCCACTTTTCATGCTGATTTCCATTAAACTATCTGTACATCCCTTGGATTTAGATTCAATTAATATTAAGTTTTCTATTTTTGGAGGAAAGAGAATGAAATATCCTCAAAACCCCTTTAGTCTGCTTTATATTCATGATCAGTCTCAGATTAGTAAGTATATATACTGTATATTTCTGTGACCATTAAAGATTAAAAATTAAACCCAAATTAGTGGGGTCAACTAATGCAACAGTTACAAAAAGCCAAAATCCTTAAATCCTGCAGTGTGTCAACACTGGTAAGTAAGCTTGCACCATGGATCAAGGTAGGCTAACAACTGTTTTAATATGGTAACTACTGATGTAAATATTTCTAGTTGAAACAATTCACATTATAATGCTGTACTACACTTATAAATGTAATAAAACTACTTTTACATTAAAATGCAATATTCAAGAGATGATTATACAAGAATTTGCAAAAATTCTGCTGAACAACATGCATAAGCAACTTAAATCTTTCATTTTTGATTTGTAGAGCTATGACTATGGCTACACCAATCATTATTTCTTATAGTAGTGTTAAATAACAATCTATATTTCTAATTAAAATTCATTATCATTGTGATCTTAAATAACAACATTTAATATAACATGTAAAATTTATTTTTTAATAACATACATTATACAGTAGTTTTTTTGTGTTGTTAAGTCACAAATCATTTAAGATGCTGCAAAATCTTTTTTTCTCATTACAGAATAAAAAAACATGACACTCATGTACTTAACTAAAACCATTTAAAATTAATATGATCATCACCATTTGATACAAAGAGATCATCATAAACCGCGTAATTTACAGTTTTGTCATATGGGTCCCAGTTGGTTGTTGTATATCAGATAAAGTAAAAATTTTACCTAGATTTGGGGTCTCATCTACAGGTAACCTTATATTTGGTAATATAAGGTATATGCAGATGATACCACAGTGTATGGGTGCCCCTCCAAATATCTGGATGACCATGCCTGTTAGCTGATTTCTTCTCTGATCTAACTCTCGTAGCTCAAGTGGGAGGGGCGTTAAGAATAGCTGCTATCATTCAATAACTTCCAGTGTCTTCACCCGAACTCCGAAATTTTATTCACTATTTTTTTATGTTTTTCCTTCCTTCTCTGCCAATAGGAGTAGATATGCTTGCCTATCATCTGGTTCACACACCTCCCTGGACTTTTGAGCAGGAGTTGAGGTTTATCCCTTTCTTTCCTATTTAGGATTGGGTTTCCAGTTCTTTCTAAAGCAGTCCTAGGCAACATTTTTAGAACTGTAGACTGCATGAAGCACAGTTCATTATAAGATGAGCTGCACTACTAAAAAAATTTTTTTTATTACAGATACTGCTGCCATTTTCCCAACAAAAGACTATATGCATAAGCATCTGCATTAGAAATGGAGAAAAGTTGATTTTTTTTCTTTAGAGAAAAAAATTCCTTGTATAATTTAAAAAAGGAAAGTCATGATATAATATTATCACTGATGACAGAGTGATTAACACACACTGTTGTATGTGATTTGTTTTTAATTTATTCATATGACAATGAAAAAGCATTTTTCAAAAGAAGTATATTTATTCTCTAAAGAAAAATAATTATCATTAATGTTTCCAGTTTCTGAAGGAAAAGGTCTTTTTTGGCAATGGTTTAAAATGCTGACACAGTTACCTTCAACTAAATGTTACAAAATTCAAGAGACATGTTATAGTTAATCATTGTTTATGTATGTGACTATGCATCAGTAAACAAGTGAGAACAAAAGGAAATAAACCAACATTCTAATAATGTTATTTTCCTCATGAAATTAGACAAGCCATTCAGAATGCCAATCGGGCTGCATGTGGCCCATGATTTCTAACACCTAACTTCTGTGCCTGAACTCTGACTTTTTATTCACTAATTATTTAATTATTTATTTTATTTTTTTTCTCTCTTTCTCTCAATAGGAGTAGATAGGTTCGCCTGTCATCCAGTTTATCCCCCCCCTCAGTTTTTTGAATAGGAGTGTAGAGGTTCAATCCTCCCTTGTTTCCTGTTTAGAATTGGGTTTCCAGTTCCTTCCAAAGTCTACTTCAACTCTGTACTCCTATCATCTCCAACTGAGCTCTGACTAATTACAGAATGCACCCCCCCCCAAAGTGACATCATTTAAAATGTGAATATCTGAGTAACTATATGTCTCAGGCAAATGGTATTAAATAGGCTTCATGTTGAATAATAAAAGATTTATTTATATTAATTTGAACAAGATATTCAAACTGATGTAGATTTTATAACTGATTGCACAAAACTACATAAATGTTCAATATGTGCACCACCTGTGACATGACACATATTAAGTTGGTTGCTCAGTTCAGCATGTCTTGCATAACATACTCCAGCGCCAAAGTGTCATATGAGGAATCTGGGTTTATATAGATTCTCTTCTTAACCCTTTCAGCCCTGCATTCCTGAACAATTTTAACCCTTCTGCCAGAGCTCCTGAGTTAAAATTTGCAAATAATTGGTATGTAATTTTTCATGATAGATATAAAAATAATTACAAAAAGCCCAGATGGAAAGAAATCTGTCTCTTGACATTACTTTTCGAAAACCCGGTGTCCACTTGATTCCCAGTACTCCCTGAGTTGAGGTTTGATTGCTGTTGTTCCATTTGCAATCTCAACCCAAGGAAAGCCTTTGCTTCTGTTTCAGTCAGTTTATCTTTGAATATCTTGCCATAGTAGAGTAGCCAGTCTTTGCTTCTTTGATCTGCTCTGCATGATGATTTGTTTTGTTTACAAAGTTTTGCCAGAACTTGTCATCCAGAATCAATTGTGCGAGAGCTTTTGTTGGTACTTTCTGGAATGTTCTTTGCTCCACATTCATAATCATCAAACTCGATGTCATTTGCCTCATATAGCTTATTCCAACCATCTCAATCCCCTCTTACATCTCTAACATCACTGGAGTCTGTGAGGACACGTCTCCTTTGATCAGCTGATTCTGCATGCTCAGTTCCATTTTCGCTATCTGTAGCAAAATCTTCCAATTTGAATTCCACTTCACTATTAGAGTAATCATTGTCATACTCTAGTTCCGATAAATCATGAAGTATATCAATTACTTGCTGCGCTGTGTAGAGTTCTTTTCTCACATATTTTGTCTCCGATTGCTTCCCTGATGCTCCAGGTTAAGACTCTGCATGCTTCATGGTAAAAAACAAGCTTTTTTATCCAAAATGCATGTACAAAACACAATGAAAAGGCATAGACATGTTGTTATAACGTTCAATGACATCAGAATCTTATAGCTTTTCTGATTGGCACTTCAAAATAAGACAACCAATAGCAAAATATGATGCAAGTGTTTACCCAACGTTCAACCAGTGGCAAATTATTTTTCTTTATCACCAGTAAAGCGGTGGTCAGAGCTCAAAGAGTTAAAGACTTTCTGGGGCTTTGTACAAATGTTTCCCGAACATGATTGACAATATCTTCCGATACTGGTGGTCGTCCTTTACTCTGCAAAAACAGCCTTCCTCTTTGAAGAAAAATTTAAACATTCAACTTAGTTTTTGCACATTTTGTTAAAATTTGAGATCATTTGTGCAAGAATTGTCTATCTTATTTGACTACAAAATGATGTCAATTTTGGGGGACTCCCTATATTTATTTATTTCCTTCTCTCCTGATTGAAGTAGATATGCTTGCCTATTATCCGGTTTACACTCAAGTTCATTCATTTGAACAGGAATAGATGTTTATCACTTGTTTTCTGTTTAGGATTGGTTTTCCGGTTCCTTCTAAAGCTGACTTCCACGTTATACTTCTAATGTCTGTGACTGAACTTTGAAATGTTATTCACCAATTAAATTTTGACCTCCTCAAGACTAGATTTAGCTGTTATCATTCCTGCATAGCCCTAAGAACTTCTTGCCCTTTCTTTCACTAATACAACACTGCACAGTGACCCTCTACGTTGAGTGGCTCTTGGGCCTTGTATTGGGTGAACATTAGTATAAAAAGTGAAAAGATGTTCAGATGAGTTAGGTTTCTTAGTTGTCAGGGCTGTGGAGTTGGAGTCGGAGTTGTTAAAACTATACCAGCTCCAACCCTAGTTGAATTTACACTTTGTCTTATTTTATAGAATTTTTATTCTTGTTATTTATTCAGCTGTATATTTACTATTTCCTTTAAAGAAATTCTTCTCAACTTCTTTTTAAAATCATTTTATATTTTTGTAGTTATTTTGTATTTGCAAACTATATATGTAAAAAGAATCTTACATTATCGAATTTTTATTTTTGTTATGTCTTTTACGTCCTGTAAAAGATTATATTTCAACTTTTGCTATTTTTGTTCTCTACTTATTTCTTATTTGCAAATATATATATATATATATATATATAGTTTTACATTATAGCATTTTATTTTTATTGTTATTTCTACTATATTCTTTCAACGATTTTGTCTCTAATTCTGTTAGAAAATATTGAAGAATGAATAGGTATGATATAAAAGCCACAATATCTTTATTCTTGGATATAAACCAGTTATAATGATATAGGCCTACTCACTTAGGAGCGTATGCATAGGCTTTATGAGATTTGTAGGCCATAATCATTTAATTAGATGAAGAGGAGCCGTGGTTGGAGGTGCCAAAAATAGAGGCGTCAGAGTTAAAGGTTTTGTGTTCCAACTCCACTATCTCAGAGCTCCACAGCTAAGACCTACCATGCCATGGTCATGGTGATAAATCATTTTCATTCCTTTTATGTTTCTATGATAAGGAGAACTGTTACTTTGTGGAAGAAACTCCCAAGAGGATGCTTTACTGACTACTACACTCTTGGTCTCTTTGGGTCTAGGGTCAACCGATATTTATCCTACACATTCTTATAATATGCATTTCCTACTTCCACCTTCCCTTGCCTTATAACAATCTCACTAACCCACTACCTTGTGTGGCTATTGGGTCTTTTTATTCAGTGAACTAACAGTATATGAAAAAACAGAAACAAAACTTTATAGGATCCTGAATTATCCTGATGGTTTTTGACATTGTGAATCCTCACTTAAGTTTTATATGTATCGTACTTAGACTTTATGAATTTAAGTGTAGTACTAGATTGGTGGTAATGTTTCATCATTTTACAGTTAAAATGGCTAGATGTAATCGTAAGTTCTATGCTAACAGTTTCTTCGTTTTTAGAACTCTCTTCTGGCTTCTTGCTTCATAGTCAACTTTCTTCTTCAAAAATTTAAATGCAATCTTCTGTCTTCTTAATTCTGGTTCTTTTATTCTTCTTGCTCCTTAAGAGTATATTTTTCTTATCTTCTTTCACACTCATTAACTCCCTGCATCTTAGTGGATTTGTTACCTTACTTGTGGTGAATTTATTAAAAAATAAAATAGGTAAATGATAATAATGATAAAAGAATTGTGGTTGCTATTGTATCATTGGATGAAAGATAGTTTATATTTAACCCTTTCACATTCAACCCACTCTGTAAATATCGGCTTTCAATGTTCAACTTGCTGTAATCCGTGCCATGTATACTCTGCCATAATATATCAGAATATCATCACAAATAATGCAGAAATCAAGTAAACAGACTAAGTGCAAACAGTGATGTTTTGAGAGCCAGTATTTACTGGGTGGATTTGAATGTGTTGAATACTAAAGGGTTAAAAAATCATATGTGAAAATCTATTACTAATAGTAAGTACTAAACAAAAGATACCATCGTTTTATATGGCTTCGGTAAGCTAGTATTAATATTAAGGGTCTACTGTGCATAAACTGGGGGATCGGTTTTCTATTGTTATTAAGTAATAAACTAATCCCTCTTGAATTACTACATTTAATATAGCATATTGAACGTTATGTCTGCATGTAGTTTGCCACTTAACTCTTTAACAATCCACCCAGCCTGTAAATATTGGCTATCAATGTTCAACCAGCCATAACCTACCCCATATATATTCTGCTATAATATATGACAACATCACTGCAAATAATGTGGGAAGTCACACAAACAGCAAGACTTTGAGAGCCGATATTTATGGGACAGATATGAGCAGGTTGAAATCTAAAGGGTTAAAGTACAATTTTATTTTGAATTTTTGTTCTGTTTGCTTGTAGCCAGTAATTAAGAGCAGTAGGTTTTGATTTATTTTTAATCAGCCCCTCCCCCTTCCCATGCAACACAATAAAGCCACTACGATGCAAGAGGCTACTGGAAATGAAAGAGAAGGAACTGGAAACCAAATAATAGTTTTTGCTCTTAATTTTATGGCTGTGCAATGTGGATCTGAGAGAAATCTCTGATTCACATTTCTGAAAGCCCTCTGTTGTCATTATTTTATAATCAAGTGTAATTATTGACATTTAAAAAAGAACTGCTTCCAGTAATTCTTATCCTTTTAATAACAATGTTCACTGCTTGTAAAACGTCACTAAGCACTGGGGAGGGACGGGATCATCAAAAAGATACTCATAAAATTGTTTTTAACACATAAAATATTTTCCCTTGCTTTTAAAATCTTTATGACAATACAATGTACTTTTTAATTATTAATAAAGCTTCTAAATTTCTTAGTAAATCTTTTTTATTACTGTTCTCCACCTGTCTGGATGATATACACTTCATTTTGGAAGACTAGGTGAGAGCGAATGCAAATTTAACATTTAATTAGGGGTCAGTTCATTAAAACTTATATGAAGTGCTCAAATGTAGAGTTATCTTCTTTTCATGACATTCACCAGCAAATTTTACATATACATGCCAAATTTCATTGCTTTATCTAGAATAGTTTTTTTTAATGGAATTTTATCAATGAAAACACAATGTTGACCCAATATTTTCAGGAAAATGTTTTTTTTTTTCTTCTGTTTGAAATGCTTATATTTCAAAAAGTTATGGATGGATTTTGATTATTTAAAAACCAAAAGTTTTCAATCAATTTATATTCTATGAATTTCCTATTTTTTATAGCAAAATCTAAAGTTTAGTTTTTTTTGTGAGCATTGCTACTTTTAACATTGACTGATGATTATCACTAATAAAAAAAAAAAAACATAATAAATTTAAACCAACAATTTGCGACTAGCAACCACTGTTTTGGTGCTTTTTCTTTTTCAGGTCCTCATAATTCATTAGACCACATAGAAGGACGTGGAGATAGTAACACAACAACAAAGAGGACGACCGTTGGTCATCACACCACGGCTATGAGGTTAGTTGCTATTAAGAAATCTACCCCGCCTCCTCTCCAAATAACCATGACTATGCTTTCCTTTTCATTCAGACTAATTCCATCTCAACCTTCAATGTCGGATATAAACAGGGTATTTCAAATAGCACTTAAGATTTTACATTGTTGCACATTTATACAAATTTCATAAAGTAAATATTTATTGATTGGTTCGTTTAATGGCACATCAACTCCTTATGGGTCATTTAATGCTGAAATTTAATTTTCTTTGGAGCTTTGAAGTAATAAAAATATGATATATGTTATTCTGCTTTCGCAATTGAATACATGGTAGATGATACTCAGCTTTTGTGCATATACATGTTTGTGTGGTCATGATTATTAGAGGCAGTGATATGTGTGTTTTATGTTATGTCATATTTTGGAATACAGTTTGATTTCTTTAAGAAATTGTAAGATATTATATTGATTAATATCATAAAAGAGTTTTTTCATGTGAGTTGATTGGGTTGGTTAATTTCATTTAGTGGCATATCAACACCTCTATGGGTTATTTAATGCTGAAATCTAAATATTTTGAACATAATTTTAGGGCTTCAGCTAAGTATATTTTTGAACTCAATTTTATGCCTTCAACTACAGATAAAATATATTGTTGCTCATTTTGCTATAAAATGTATTGTTCATCATATCTTTTTTAGTATAAAAATGTATTATTATACTTTCATAGTGTTTTGTTTTTGTTTGGGTTGGGCGTTCACTATTTGCCCATAGCTGGGACCCAAACAGGTGCTACCACCCTGGGAACAATAGCAATTAAGAAGTGGTTCCACACTCCTCAAAACCTTGAATCTCCTGATCATAGGCTTTGCTGCCAAATGTAGTTTATTGTCATACCCAGGACTGAGTAAATATTGCATTATAACATTTATACCATTGTTGAAATAAGATTTTCTGTAAATGGGTGGAAAGGATATTAGCTACGACTTAAATAGAGTTGCCCACTCATAAAAAAAAAAAATAATGAAAATTTTTTTTGGGGGAAATAATTTTGTAGATTAGCATGTTTAGACCATCCTTAGGCTGTGACACTTGTCAGAATTGAAAAATATTGGTTTGTTATTTTATTGATTCATTTTCTATATTTAAAGCTAGAATTTTTTTGAGATAATAATGGTTTAGTGATACAAGTCTTGTTAATTAACCCATAGCTGGGGGAGAAGTGGATTGTTTGATTCATTTTTTACAGCTTGTCAACACTTTACAGATTATTTAAAGGCAGAAAATATTTTTAGATTGTAAGAATTTTTTTGGTGGGGGGAGAGAATAATGTTTTAGGGAAACATGTCTTACTGGGGAGAGAAGAGGATTAATTGATTCATTTTCTACATCTTATCAACACTTTGCAGGTTATTTAAAGCCAGAAAATATTTTTAGATTGTAAGAATTTTTTTTGCGATAATAATAGTTTAGTGATACAAATCTTTAATTAATCTATTGCAGGAGAGAGATGAAATGGATTCACACCTTTCCCAAGAGTAATTCTGTGTAAGTGAATATAACAAATGCAATGGTAATTGGAACTCATCTCTCTGATTAGCAATTCCAAGCCATTATACAATACACCATGCACGTATCTGTTGTATAGGAATAAAATGTTGTTGCCAACTCTGGAGTTTGAACACAGATCACCAGTGAGCAAACAGGTGATTCCATTTCTAATAAGTAGACCATGTGATCGTAAAGGAAAGGTATATATGGGAATTAGCATGGCATCTACGTGATCGCGATTCTTTATACTATCCTCTATACTGATCACTTTATGGATTACTACTTGGCGGTTACTATTCAAACAAGTATTATTCAATGGAGTTACTAGTAGTATCTGCGATTCCAAAGTCTTGGCTACAACAGGCATTATGAACGTGATAATATGCATTCGTTGACATCACAAAATTATCAAAGCTTACAGCACCTGGTATTCCCAAGATACTGACCCGGCTCAATGTTGCTTAACTTTGATGATCAAAAAGAAAATAGTGTTTCAACATGATGTGGCCATAAGCCTGTTATTTTTTAGGATGGGTGTCCAGTTTGTAATATATTGATACAGTGTCAGATCAATTCCTAATGTTTACAACATTATTGGCTTTAGGCCATGTCACTTAGCTGTTATCTGCAAATTTAAATTTTTTTTTTTTTTAACCTTTATTTTACATTTTAAAAAAAAATCCTATACATAAACATAGGAATTTTTTCAAAAGCACATGCACAAAAATTTGATGTTTATAATTATTTATCTTCAATCAAGAATAAATAGATACATAATTTTATCAATTTATATTCTTTAATTATATATATATATATATATATATATATATATATATATATATATATATATATATATATACACACACACACACAGAGGGTACAATAGATAAATTGTTGTCTAAATGACACAAAAATGAAAATAACACTGACATCTCATGTTAACATATATTTACTAAAATTACACAAAAATATCTTAAAATACTATTCAATATAATCACCATTGGTTTCAACCACGGCTACCAGATGACTTTGAAATCTCCTGCAAATCTTCTGGATGGTCACCTTGTTTAAGTTTGTGAATGCTGCCATAATCCTTGCCTTCAGGTCATCTTTGGTGTTACAAGGAATTTCGTTGGTCTCACTTAACAGCCGTCTCACACATAATAATCATGGGGGTGGTTAAATTCTGAGGAGTTAGGTAGACAGATGTAAGGGGTGATGTAGTCGCAGAAATTGTCTGACAGTGATGACTGGGTTCTACTCGTGTGGCTTGGTGTAGAGTCCTGTTGCCAGACATAGGGTCTTCCAACAGCCACCCACGACCCAGGGCTGCACTAACTCCTCAAGTCACTTAATGTAGGTCTCCGGGTTGATTCTGAGCCCCTGTGGAAAGATGATTGGAGGTATAATGTCGCCATCACTAGTGATCACTCTAGACACCTTCATAAACAAATCATTACTCATCCAACTCCTCTGCACTCTCTTCATATTGATACCCAAACACTCTGAAATGTTTGTATTGGAGCTCCTGGCATGAATGCCAAGCAGTACAGCATGCTGTTTCCAAATTCCTAGTTGAGTAAATTACATCATGGTGCTCTTTTCTCCCAGATGGTGCCCAACTGACCCTACTATACTGTGCAGTTGACAAAATCAAAGACAAATAACACACATGTGCTAAGTTAAAAATATAAAATGGCAACAATGTACCCATTGCACCCTGTATATATATGTGTATGTGTGACAGTGGATGGACACTGAGGTTAATACTCAATGTTCACCTCAGTGTCCACTTATATTAACATATGCTCTGTCACTAATATTGCACACTTTTACCCATAAATGTAGCATATCCTAAATCCTAAAACTATATTTTTATATTATATATATATATATATATATGCATATATTCATTAAAAAACGACAGACAAAAGGTACTACGGTTGAGCTTTTTATTTAATTTTTCTTGTGTTCTTACAAGAGCTTTCTTTTCTGGACAAAGGGTGTGTAAGAACTGTCCGAATGTTTTATATTTCCGAGCGCTTTTGGCTATACATTTAGCCATTATCAAGGATGATTCGATTTTTCAGCTTAATTGAATGTGTGCGTTCTGTGTATGTATCAGTGTGTGGTGGGGATGTTTTTAATTTCCGAATACCGTTAGTACATTGTGGCTTTGTTCGTAGTTAATATTGTTAAGAGTTGGCTTTTTCTTTTTTATTATTAGAGCTTCCATTATTTTTAGTCTTTTTTTGCAAGTGGATGCAGTTAATATATTTGTGTTTTCTACTAGTATGTTCCTAATGGTGTCGGGTAAATCTGAGTGTGCGTTTAAATGTGTTCTGATGGAGCTGTGATAAAAAAGAAAAAGCCAACTCTTAACAATATTAACTATGAACAAAGCCACAATGTGCTAACCGTATTCGGAAATTAAAAACATCCCCACCACACACTGATACATACAAAGAATGCACACATTCAACTAAGCTGATAATTGAATCATCCTTGATAATGGCTAAAGGTATAGCCAAAAGCGCTTGGAAATATAAAACATTCGGACAGTTCTTATACACCCTTTGTCCAGAAAAGAAAGCTCTTGTCAGAACACAAGAAAAATTAAATAAAAAGCTCAACTGTAGTACCTTGTCTGTCGTTTTTAATGAAACATGCATAAAGGAAGGATTGCTTCCTAAATATACAACTATATATATATATATATATATATATATATATATATATAAAAAAAAAAAACTTGAAAGAGGCTGTTTAACCAATATAAGGACTGACCAAAATTAACGATAAAAAAACAAATGAAAACTACAGATAAAGTACACTTTCTTCATAGACAGTCATTCATTCCTGTAGTTCATTGCTAATAACAAGCAGGGAATTTTTTTCTCCTGATGATGGCCATGATGGCTGAAACTAGTTGAGAAACCTAACTGAAATAATAAAACAAAAAAATATTAATATACAACCTAGTGTGTCTGAAAATTTTAATTTTTTAATATTTTTTATTTGAAGCATAGATATAAATTCAGATGTAAATAAAATATATCTGTAAAAGACAATATGAATAAAGATAAAAGGAAAACTTTTCTTTAAAATAAACGCATAATTAATTTATCAAATTAAAATAAAATAAATAATGATTACATTAGCATAAAATAAATAAGTAAATAAATGTATATAAACATAAGAAATTAAAATATTCAACAACAATGACAACATTTATTCACTTTTGTTTATTAGGCATTAAATTACATCCCTTCGTATCCTCCATAGGTTAACTTGACTTTTCACAGTTAGCATTAAGAATATTTTGAGTTTTCTTAAATTTAAACATTTTCAAAACCTAACAATATTTTTTACATTTGTTTATAAATACATGTTGCAAAATAAAATCGTAACATTTACCTTGATAAAGTCCATCAGAGGACAAAACTCATTGTTAAAGAAAGGTTTTGCTT